CACACACACACACACACACACACACACACACACACACACACATGCACACACATAGCACACGTAGCGCACGCGCGCGCGCATGCACACAGACCCAGACAGACAGCGGTTCAGGTAAGAGTCAATCAAGCACTAACTCAATCGTTCACACACTCTCTCTCTTTCGCAGAGACGTTTGATTGATGGGTTGACTGATTATTTGATTAGTCAATTAATTGCTGTCTTTCTGCCCGTCGCGCTCTCTCGGACCCGCACACACACACACACACACACACACACACAGAGAGAGAGAGAGAGAGAGAGAGAGAGAGAGAGAGAGAGAGAGAGAGAGAGAGAGAGGGAGGCGGCTGGGGGGTAACACGGTGAAGCTTCTGTGAGACGTTGAGGGGGACGATTTTAATAGCACTCCTGTTTTTCTCCGCCCTGAAGAGGGTAATTGCCCCTGACTATGAATCTACCTTGTCCCAGCCAGAGTCATGTATGGGTTCTCCATCTTTCTTCTTCTTCCTCCTCCTCTTCTTCTTTCCTTTCTTCTTTGGAGGCATTGGCTCGCCCCTTAAGGTCCCTTAAGCCAATCAGTGCAAATAGTCAGCACTAACCTTGTGGTCTACTCCTGCGACCAGCCTGTACACCTAGGCCAGCTGGTCCCTACCCTGTTCCCACATCTGTCCCACCAGTGATCCCCAGAGTAGAGCGCCGGTGGCAACCCTGTTCCCACAGCTGTCCCACTACTGGTACCAGAGTAGAGTGCTGGTCCCGAGGCTGTTTCCCAAGCTGTCCCATCACTGGTCCCACGCTACAGCACTAGAGCACTGGTTCCGAACCTGTTCCCTCAGCTGTCCCATCACTGGTACCAAACTAGAGCGTTGGTCCCGGACTAAATCACTGGTGTCCAAGAAGGTTCATTTATGGCTGTTTATAGAATATTTATAGAATACGTATCTGGCGCTGAACTTGCCTCCCAGCTGTTATTCGCAGCCCTTAGGCTGCGGTATAGTGTGCTTCCGCGTCTGTGTCAAGGTGCCACATTTTTGGCAGCGGGCGACCAGGACGCAAAGTGGGTTCTTAGGGGGCAAAAGAATTTGGGGGACCGGTCCTTGGCAAAACTGCGGACTACCTACAGCTAGCTCTCCTAGAACCGGGACTTTTGGAAAAAGGAAGGACCGGTCCTCAGGTGGAAGTGGACCCCCAAAAGAAGTCGGGGGCGTTGGACCGGACCCCGGGTAGAAGCAGACCCCACAAAGAACTGAGGGCATGTGAACTGCAAAAGGGCCCTCAGGCCCAGGGATTGAGCCCCGTCTTCTCAAAACAGGGAGGTCAGGCACAACGAAATAGGCGTTTTGCAAGAGGCAACTTTGCCGATTTTCTATGCTCGGACGAACATGCACAAAAATCTGAAATTTTGAGAATCCATAGATGAGGTCGTGTTCTTTCCATAAATAATAATAGAACATCTACAAAAAATCATTTACACTGCGAAATTGTCTACCGCGTGGGCGCGGGGAACGCAGCCATAAGGTAGCCAAATCAATAAGACTATGAGCTAACACGAGAGAGAGAGAGAGACAGAGAGAGAGAGAGACAGAGAGAGAGAGAGAGAGAGAGAGAGAGAGAGAGAGAGAGAGGGAGAGAGAGAGAGAGTTTTGTTTCATTTATTGTTATGAGTGTGAGAGAGAGAAAGAAATAGAGAGAGAGGGAGGAGGGGGGGCTACCAGAGAGAGAGAGAGAGAGAAAAAAAAAAAAAAGTTTTGTTCCATTATTGATAAGAGAGAGAGAGAGAGAGAGAGAGAGAGAGAGAGAGAGAGAGAGAGAGAGAGAGAGAGAGANGAGAGAGAGAGAGAGAGAGAGAGAGAGAGAGAGAGAGAGAGAGAGAGAGAGTTTTCCATCGATAGGATGACGAACGCACCGGGCAACAGGTAAGTCTCCAACCCTGCGCCCGGCCTCACGCTGTTCCCCGCTGTTCCCATCAAGAGGATGAGCAAAATCGGACGAATCTACGACTATAACATGGAAATATACACCGCCAAACTTGTTCGTTTGGTTCTGTGTGTGTGTGTGTGTGTGTGTGTGTGTGTGTGTGTGAGAGAGAGAGAGAGAGAGAGAGAGAGAGAGAGAGAGAGAGAGTTTTCCATTGATAAGAGAGAGAGAGAGAGAGAGAGAGAGAGAGAGATAGAGAGAGAGAGAGAGAGAGAGAGAGAGAAACACATGCAAATGTAGACAGAACGGGCGAGGTCTTACTTTCACAGCATACACGTAATGTCCATGTCATGCGACACCAGTCGCGATTACCCTTCTACCTCACTGTTCAGGTAATCATTTCAGCCACTATCCTCAGTATTTATACCCTTTGTTCCCAGTCCTTCTCCGCCACTTTCCCTATCCTTGAAAGTACTCATCATCTATCCTCAGGATCTCCTACAGTCGCTCTCTGTGTTGTCCTTGTCGTCGTCGATTTCCAACATGTCGTTGATCGTCTTCAGTACACACCAGATAAGTAAAATAGAATCTCCAAACATCGTTGAGTAATCTCCACGCTATAGTAATCTCCAACAAATCGCCACTATGATATCATGAAAGAAAAGGGTTACGAATGATGAGAGAGAGATAAAGACAGTGAATATAAAATGGAAGAGTGACAGGTCTATACAGTGCCAATCATCGCGGGTACCGCCCGCAAGTTCTAAGCACCGTGCATAGAGATAAACACATGCAAATGTAGACAGAACGTGCGAGGTCTTACTTTCACAGCATACACATGCAAATGTAGACAGAACGTGCGAGGTTTTACTTTCACAGCATACACGTAATGTCCATGGCATGCGACACCTGTCACGATTACCCTTCCACCTCACTGCTCAGGTAATCATTTCAGCCACCATCCTCAGTATTTAAACCCTTCGTTTTCAGTCCTTCTCCGCCACTTTCCCTATCCTTGCAGTGTACTCATCATCTATCCTCAGGATCTCCCGCAGTCGCTCTCTGTGTTGTCATTGTCGTCGTCGATTTCCAACATGCCTTCAATCTGGAGCTACTTTCATATTTCTAATGATTTCGTGCGTGTTACTCACGTACTCTCCTCTCTGTCGGAGTTCCGTCTTACTGTGGTACTTGCCTATAACTCCGTTGTTTTTTTATACTGACTCGAATCTGACCTTGTTTGTTGTTCTGTTCTTGTTTACTTTCATGGTCGTGGATTTTCCTTCATTTCCAGGTGAGTACTTTTTCTTTATTGGTTCGTTTCCACTGCTTTAGGTCGTTCATCTTCTATCTGTTTCGTATGTTTGAAAATGTGAACGACATTGTTACGTCATTATATCTGCAGAAATTCTATGATATTACGGAGTACTTAGTCCTGTATGTTTCTTTTTCGTCCCTGAAAATTTATTTTCATTCCGTGCAATATTTTTGATTTTTGATTTTTGATTTTTTCATTTGTGATTTTAGCTTTCCGAGTCGTGTGAATTTCTTGACGTATTTTATTCCGGACTTTCAGTTTTATATCCGTCGATTTGGTGCTTCTTGCTTTTTCAGGTACTCCTGAATTATATTTCGGACGTCCGTGTCCCTGCAGTTTCGGATGAACGCAAGTATCACGGCGCGAGTTATCCTCCATGGGTAATCCATAAGTCGGAGTTCCCGTCCGAACAGCTCAATCATGGGCGGTAGATCCGCCATCTCATATGTGTTAGGTACCATTCGATGAAAAGTTCCGATAATCGTCAAGGTGTTGGTTCTCTCAGAACCCACACTCCTGAAGTGACGCAACTTCCTAAGAGAGAGAGAGAGAGAGAGAGAGAGAGAGAGAGAGAGAGAGAGAGAGAGAGAGAGAGAGAGAGAGAGAGA